TATACTCATGAACCAATTCAGTGGCTTGTTCGTACAGCTGCCTGTCAGAGTCTGGATAATAAGCATTCTTTATACACTTTCATAGAAATTACAGACTCATGCAATGAGAGGGGAAATGTTATCGTGGGCTAAAGTGAGCTTCTTAGCAGAGATGGAACTTAAGGTGGGCTTGGAATGACCAAAGATTGGTACAAATGGAACTAAGAGAGAAAGAAACCCAAAGACAATGAAATGTATGTATAAATATATATACATATATATATATATATACATATACACACACACACACATGCACACACACATACACACATATATAGATGAGGTAGAACTTGAGCAAATATTTTACTGTATTTTTGTTCTCTTAATTTTAAAAAAAATTGATCTCAGGCAGACTCATCTCTCAATGTTTGTCTTTTTTTTTTTTTTAAATCCAGATGCTATGGAAATAGCTTTAGATTCTCAGCCAAATTGCTGAGGTAGAGGACTGTCTTTGTTACATTTACCTTCTAGATACTCTTGGAGAAATGCTTCAAAGAGAAGTATCTCTGTCTGAACTGGGGACTCTGGGGGTCCCTCCAATAGGGGTCATGGTGACCACATTGAGTTTCATAAAGGTGAAAGAAAAGGTCCCCTACTCTGCTCTCTTGCTGTCACAATGCTTCCAAGACTTCTCAAATATTTGGGGATTCATTGCACATCTGATAGGTCCAGGCCATTCCCATTTACAGGGTTAAGCCTAATGCAGAGTTCCCATAAGCTCCATTAAGGGAGCTAGGTGTTTTTGTCATTCAAAATAAGACACTAAGGAAAAAAAAATACAAACAACAAACCAGGTTGTAAATGAGTGGTTAGTTCTTGGCCAATAAAGGCATTTCTCCCCCCCCAACCCCCCATGAGGAAAACAAATAAACAAAACAAAACAAAATAAGACACATGGAAAGGTTTTGTTATCATGGGGAACTCAAGTTGTTTGTGATTTGAATAATTAGTCCTAGGAAGTTGTCTGAGACATGAAGAGAAAGAATGTTTAGCTCAGAATCACACAGTTAAAAAGTGTCAGAAGTGGGATTTGAACCCAGGTCTTCCTGACTATTAAGCCCCACTATGTAATGCTGTTTTTTTTTCCCCCTTAAAATATCTTTCCTGAATTCTCTTCGTGTTGGTGATATCTGCTGATGTCACTCCTTGTGAGTTAGTGGCCAGAAATAACTGGGAGCAAGGAGCCATGTCAAAGTGCTCTCAGGAATCCCCCCCCCTTTGCCCTCCCTATCATTGCCCCCTCCAAGATTGGAAAGATATACCCATATAATGAGGATTGATAGAATGCTGGATAGAGTCAGAAAGATCTGAGCTTATATCCTACCTCAAACACTAGCTTTGCTACCCTGGGCAAATCATTTGATTTCTCTCAGCCTTAGTTTCTTTATCTATAAATTAGCAATAATAATAATAATAATAATAATAATAACACTTCACAAGGTTGTTATGAGAATCAAAATGATTCTATTCTATTCTATTCTATTCAAACTATAAAGCATAATGTAAATTTAGCTATTTTTACTATTTAGGTTTGGAGAACTGTTTTGAGGAGATCCTTAGAAAAAATGGCACACTTTGATTGGGTGACATTGGCGCAGAGAAACAACTCCATATAAAATCCCTAAGTGTAGGCATTAGGAAGAATAGCTTTTCAGAAAATAGCTCCCGAGGAAAAGCTATATTTTACCAACAATCCCACTGATGAAAGAGGACCTTCTATCCCAGAGAACCTAGAAAGCAGTAAGGGAGGTGAAATGGATGGGTGGTTAAACAGACTCCCAACCAAAACACTATTTTAAGTGGCAAAAAGGAGTTAAAAACTGAGCATATTCTTGCTCTAATGGTCAAAGGCAACCTTGGGTCAGCTGGAACATTCTTGGGTCATTCATTCGGTTCCTCTAATTCTATGCCCCTAGAAAATGATACATTAGAAAAACTTAGTATATGAAACTATCAGGAAGAAAGAAGCATTTTTGAAGAGACAAGTCAGAAACTTAGCTTAGGAACAAATTACCAATGGAAATTGTAAAGAAAACTAGGAATATATTTCACATGAAATCAAAACTGCAGCCTGAATTGTCAATGTGGAGAACAGAAACGCTTAACAGGGAGTTGGAACCCAAGATAAATGAAGAGATGGCTATCCTCAATGAATTCATGTCAACAGTCTCAGATAAACTACATCTCAGGGCATTGAAAGAAAGTGAGGATTTAATCATTGAGTCACTTAGAGGGCGCTTTAAAAAATCATGATAACAGCAAAGACATTAATGGAAAATGAGCAGGTTAGACTCAAAGGCTACTAAATTTCCTTCTAGCTCTCAATCTATGATCTTATGATTAATAATAACCCTCAGGGAAATTTGTAATGGAGTATATACTAGAGAGTTTTCTTGTTCTATTCTGTTCAACATTTTTATCAATGACTTGCATAGAATCATAAATAATATATTTTCCAAGGACCGTGAGGTGGCACCATAGTGCATAGAGCTCTGGGCTGGGAGTCAGGAAGATTCATCTTCCTGAGTTCAAATCTGGCTTCCGACACTTACTAGCTCTGTAATCCTGGGCAAATCACCGGACCCTGTTTGCCTCAGTTTCCTCATCTGTAAAATGATCTGGAGGAGGAAATGGCAAACAACTCCAGTACCTTTGCCAAGAAAACACCGAATGGGGTCACAAAAAGTTGGATGTGATGAAAACTGAACAACAAAAATACTTTTCTAATTTGTAAATATTATGAAACTAGAAGGGATAGCTAATACATTAGATGATAGAATCTGGATACAAATGTTCTTGCCAGGTTAGAATGATAGGTCAAATTGAATAGAATGAAATTTAATCGAGATATGTGAAATATTCCTTCCTTGGTTTAAAAAAAAAATCAACAGTACAAATACATAATGGGGCAATGAAAACAAACAATAGATAGTTCATGTGGAAAAGACCTGAAGGTTTTAGTGAACTGCAAGTTCAATATAAATCAAATAAACAGAATCATGCCCAATTGCAGAGCTGGAAGAAACTTCAATGGCTATCTAGAGCAACCTATACCTTAGGCAGCAAGTGGCATAGAGGGTTAAGCTTGGAGTCAGAAAGAACTGAGTTCAAATCTGGCCTTAGACATTTACTAGTGTAACTCTGGTTAAGTCATTTCACCTCTGTTTACCTCAGTTTCCTCAACTGTAAAATGGGGATGATAATAACACCTACCTCCTAGGGTTGTTGTGAGGATTAAATGAAATATTTGTGAAGTACTTAGCTTAGTGCCAGTTTTCTTCCCTTCCCCTTGAAACAACAATAACAACAACATCACATTACAACATACCTACCAAGTAGTCATTAAGCCTTTGACTGAAGACCACCAGAGAAGGGGAACCTACTAATTCCTGAGGCAGCTCATTCCACTTTTGGATAGCTGTACTTGTTAGAAAGTTTTTCCTGACATCAAACCCAAGTTTGCCCGTCACTGTCACCAGGCAAGATCTTTTAGTATTTTAATTGTTTTGTCAACTGTGTTTTTTTCCCCTTGCACCATGTTTCACACTCGACAAGTCATTGTATTTTGTGAATCATTGTAGGATTCTTCTTTGAATGCTCCATGCTACCATTTGTAGTATGGCTTAAACTTGTTTAGTAGCTCAAACTTTGCCCTTTCCCCTTTGACCATCACCAGAAAGGATGATTTTGGCTAGAATGACTTTGCTTTTAATATCCTAAATTACTATACTACTTACTACTGATACAGCAGGTTAATAGAATCACATTTACTTTCCAGCTTTTATACCAGTTGGGTAATGCTGATGGTGGTCAACCCCTATCTAATTAGAATGTCTATTGAAACCAGTATAAAAACTGCAGAATAAAGTGGTATTTGCGTCATTTCCTGGTATAACCCAGGCAGGATAAGATTCAGCAGCTGTTGTCAAGCTGCACACATTCATAGAACAACTGGAAAGAATATGCAATTGGACTTTTAAATAAAATGTCGTTCAAAGGAAACAACCACTAACTAGAAACCCCTGGAACCCCATGGACAAAAAGTGGCTATTTCAATAGCAGGAAAGTACTTTTCACCCAAATGTGATGCACCATGATAGAAAATAATAGAACGTTTGAGCTGGAAGGAACTTTATTCATTCATTCATTTATTAGAAGGAACTTTAAAATTATCTAGTTGAGAAACTAAGGCCCAGAGGGATGTGCCTTGCTCTAGTTCACCCAGTTAGACAAAAAGTTTGCTCTAGCATCCTAATCTCTTGACTCTCATCACTTGAAAAGCCATGACATCAACCTCCTAGATCACTACATTCTTTATCTCCGTCATCAACACTCCTGATGGCCATATGGATGCAAACACATCACAATATTTATTAGCCATCTGATGCTCTACTGTCTGCCTTCATTTTTTTTTTTTGCATACTGCTTTGCAAAACTGCTCTAACCCCCAAAACAGCTATCCTCTTTCCCAACAAGTTAACACGCCAGAAGGGTTTTTGGAAATTGCTTTACATATCTGTCAGGAGTCAGATGATTCACACTGGTGAACCGACGCACATAACATGAATACCTGACCCCCTTACCAATTAGCCACCTCTGATTCTAGAGGTTGGCTAGAAAGAAAAGAAGGGCAGTGTTTAGTTTGGGCAAATACCAAAGGGGCGTTATCATTCTCATCAAGGAATCAACCATGTACATTAGACCTCCTCCCCCTCCTCTTTTGAGTGAGGCCCAGGCCTGAAACTTCTCTCCCAAGATTCTCCAGCGTGAGTAAACTTGTTATGCAAACATTAGCTTATTGTACTGAGCTACAGAAGCAGCACTGTGTCAGTGAGAGGGGGAAAACTGCTGACTTTGGTCTGATTTTAATGATGTCTCTCTATCACTGGGAAGTTTTAGGAGCTACAGGCAAAATTTTTCCCTTTGAAAAAAAGAGACTGACCTGGAGTGTGTCAGCTTACCTTGACCTGATGCAAAGTCAAGCTGAAGAGGGAGGTCTATGCTTTGGACAGAACCCAAGAGAGGCTGGCAAACAATATCTCCAGCAGGCCCCATCAAGATGTTTCCAAGTGCTGGATCCTGAGAACTCCCTTGAAAAGAAACACAAGGCATTAATTAGCCCAGGGGCTCTAACTAAAACCTCTTTTTGTGTTGTGGGCCCCTTTGGCAGTCTGGTGAAGCCTAAGGACCCCTTCTCAGAATAATACTTTTAAGTGCAATGGGAACGAATTATATTGAAATACAGTCATCAAAATATTTTTTTTAAAAGAACAACCAAGTTTACAAGCCTCAGGTAAAGAGTCCCTGAATTAGCAGGACTAGCATGCCAGAGGGAGTGAAAGGTCAAGAGATCATCCCATTCACAAAAAAACCCCCAAAAAACATGTTTTGTAGCCCTGCAGGCAGTTACACATTTGTATGTTTTTGGGTGCTGACAAGAGCCTACTGCCAATCAAGGTGATGACTTCAAGCCGTGGGTTTTGGGGGAAATGCTGCCTAATGACTCAGGGAGATAGAGGGTGGAAGGAGGAGAAGGAAGTAGCTTTACCAGCTTGTGCTTAAAAAGAAGATTTTGGAGGCAGTTCTATAAAAATTCCCTGACTGTCACCGAGGCAAATGTTGGCAAAACTGGGACTGGCTGCCTAGCAACAGTGCCCCCTCTTTCCTTTCCTACAAACAGGCTCCTCGGGCTGCACACTGCCTTTTTATCACATCTCTTATTTTCTTCTCTCTACCACACTGACCTTGACTTTCATTTTAACCGAGATTTTACCCGTATAAATATGTTGAAGGGTAGGTGGGACAGGCACATTAGCTCAAGGTCCCAGAACTTAATAATAATTGACACATATAGTACTATAAGGTTTACAAACAACTTTACATCTGATCTTCAACACAATTCTGCCAAATGGGTACCATAGGTATTGTTGTGGAAAATGAGGTTCAGGGAGGCTAAGTGAATTCCTTATGGTCATCTAGATAGTAAATGTTAGAGGTGGGATTTAAGCCCATGTTTTTCCTGATCCCAGCTCTAGTATCTTTTGTTCTATTCCATGTTGCTTCTCTATAGAATGGCCTTAATGCTGGCATATGTATCCTCAGGGGTACCCAAAATATGTTCTACCACCACCATCACATCATCATCATCATCATCATCATCTCATCATTGTTAAGAATGGTCATTTTGTTACACTATGGGCCAGATGATGTTCTCTAAAGTCCCTTTGGGTCAAGCCAATTCTATGATGTGACCACTGATGGAGAAATTAGGAAGGTTCTACCTGATCTGAGGGGAGCTAGGAAGGTTCCAATGGCTTCTAAGGGACAGTAACTTCCTTTTGAAGAAACTTGGCTTTGACCTCAGCTTTGCACTATAAAAGGTAAGATGAAGACATCCATTCTTCTGTGTAAGCAGAAAGTCAACAAATGGCCAATAAACAGAGCTAAGTAGCATTACCTGGCATCATTGATAAATAGTGTTTTGGGGCCATACTCTTCTGTAAGAGTGGCTCCCAAATTCTGCAATTCTTAGATGTACCCTGAGCTAAAATGTGGTTGGGAGAAATTTCTGGCTTCTTTCTGGACCACTCTAACATTCACGCTGTTTATTGGGCTCACTTTCACCCGGAAGGCATATAACTCTGGGTGGTGTGTGCTGGGTAAACAGGGTACCTAATGCCTTCTCCATTAGCACAATGAGGCTATGTCATCACATTGCCCTTGCCAGGGATGAGGAAAACCCAAATGGCTTGCAGTGCATGTTGGTGCAGCAAAACGTTCAAACATGTACTGACTCTTTAGGAATGAAGCTTTGGGGTGAACACTAGCCCCACTGGCATTCCCAAAGTTGATGCTGAATTTCTTTGTCAGTATAGTGACCATCAGAGATCTCACGGCTCTGCCCAGATATACTATTTTGTATCCCTGTCAAATCACAAGCACCCATCAGGCAAGATGGAATGGTTGGCTACCTATGAGCTCTTCTGGGAGGCCACTCTGGCTGGTTCCATCATCCATAAAGTCTTTGGAACTTCTGGCACCAACTGTTTTCTGCTGAATTTTGCTACTCTTTCTCTCTGAATCTCTCATTTCATGAGTACTTGAATGTGGGTGAGAAAAATCATTACCTGGAAAAAGTAAAGAGAGAGAAACAAATGAGAAAAAGAACATATTTGTTAGTAAGATGGAAATGAAAGAGTATGCATGATGGCTATTGGTGACCAATGTGGGTTAGCTCCAATCATTCCTAATTCTGTTCCTCTTTGGTCTTGCAAAGGGGGCAGTGGACAAGTGCTTTATGTGGCTGGGTTTTCACTATGTGCCTTTCCTTTGGGGAATAGCCAAGCCCTTATCTGCAACTTATGGGAAGACGAGAAGCAGAGATCCAGAGATTCTAGAGATCATCTAGTATAATCCCTTCATTTCCTAAATGAGAACCTGAGGCCTCATCCTAAATCAGGTAACTGATTTACTATGGTAAATGTCAGGGCTAGGATTTGAACAGAGGTCCACTGGCCCCAAATCCAGAACTCCAGAGGATCCTCAGATGGACCATCTAGTCCAATCCAAATTTAAACAAGGACTTTCTCTGTCACATAGTTGAGAAGTGGTCATTCAGCCTTTGCTTGAAGATCTCCATTGAGGAGGAGCTTCTGCCTGAGGTAGCCTATTTCACTTGGATATAGGTTTCATCATTAGGAAGCTTTTCCTTACATTCAACCCAAAGCTACCTTTTAGAAAACCCCACCCATCACTCTTAATGCTGCTCTCTTGGGCCAAGTTAAATAAATCTAATAAGAGCTAACATTTCTATAGTGCCTACTATGTGCCAGATACTGTGCTGAGCACTTTACAAATACTAGCTCATTTGATCCTCCCAACAACACTGGGAAGTAGGTGCAATTATTATCATGCCCGTTTTACAGATGAGGAGACTGAGGCAAATAGGGTCAAGTGACTTGCCCAGGGTCACACAGTCAGTAAGTTTCTTAGGCCAGATTTGAATTCAGTTCTTCCTGATTCCCGGCTTGGAGCTCTATCCACTGTGCCATCTAGCTACCCCTCTTTCATGCAACAGCTTTTCAAATACTCAAAGACATGTTATTCCTAAGTTTTCTCTAGACTGAAGGTTCCCTGGGTATATTTAACATGTGACACTAATTTGAGAACTTCCACCAAACATATTACTCTCCTTTGGATATTCTTCATGGCGCGCAGAACTGAACACAAAACTCACATGGAACACGATACATTAGATGAGGTCTAAACAGAGCAGAATTGATATTAGTGTCTATCCTTTCTCAATGAAGCCTCAGATTGCATTAGATTTTCAGCCACAATATCATGCTATTGATTTATCTTGAGCTTGTTGTCCACTAAAACCTTCAGATCTTTTTGGCCAAACTTTTGTCCTAATCATGACTCCCTAATCTTGTTCCTGTGAAGTTGATTTTTAAAAAATTCAAATGTGAGACTTTGCATTTTATCTCTCTTTAATTTCATCTTATCAGATCTGGCTCTATGTATTACCTAGTTTAGGACATTTAGAGATAAATAACTCAATTTTATCTTTATGTCATCTTCAAGATTTGATAAGCATATAACAATAATAATAATACTAGCATTTATATAATATTTTAAGTTTTGCAACGCACAATTTATAATTTATAAATTATATAATCTGGTCCTCACAACAACCCTGTAAGTTTGGTGCTATTATTATCCCCATTTTACAGGTGAGGAAACTCACCTGAGAATTTAAGTTACTTGCCCAAAGTCATGCATCTGGTTAGTGTCAGAGGCAGGATTTGAACTCAGGTTTTCCTGACTGCAAGTTCAGCACTTTACTCTGCCATGTAACTGACGTTAACATATTTATTGGGACAGCTAGGTAGTACCATGAATAGAGCACTGGCTCTGAAATCAGGAGGACCTGAATTCAAATTTGACCCCAGACCCTTACTAGCTATGTGACTCTGGGCAAGTCACTGAACTCTGTCTCCAAAAACAAAACAAAACAAAATAAAACAAAACCACATTTATCAGTGAAGCAACTTCTGTGTAAAAGCCTCGCTCCTGTACACTTGCTCCAGTAAAAACCTAAAAGTTGTGCAAGACTCAAAAATGATCAAGAAATCCAAGAAGGAACTACAGCAAGTGATTCCTCTCATCCTAGAATTGCACCAAAAGTCAGACAGAAGCTCGCATACTGCCAGAAAAGCCAGCCCCAGTGCAAAGAAAACATTAATGTGTTCTCCCAGCATGCCTAGAAATGGACAAGAGACATGTATAACCCACCAGGCTCTTTACACACTAGTAGTAGTGAGAGTAGTGGGCTTCCAGAAAAATGCCCAGGGTGGTTAGAAACTCACAGGGAGGACCTTGGAAGCAATCTGGAGTTGGCTAGAACCCTGGGTATAACAGCACTGAAACCAGGACATCTCAGGCTCAGGGACTCTGAAGATACAGTATTCTGAAACTTAAAGATCCAGGGGAGTGTAATCCTGGGAAGTGAAGATCAGCACAGGAATCTAGGTGACTCAGGTTTAAGCCAAGCAGAGCTGACCGTTCTACATACAAATGCAGCAGAAAGAGAATTCTAGCCTTGGCACAAAGTCTCAGTTCAGAAGCTGAAGAAATTAGTAAATACAATATACAGAACACCATTCAGAATTACAGTAGATCCAGAGATACCCAAAAATCCAACCTACAAGGAGAGAATAATTCCATGGCTGTTATAAGCAGAGAGTCAAAGGAAAAATGGATTTCTCCTCTCTCACATGAATACCTAGAAGAAATGAAACAAGAGATAAAGCCGATAGAGGAGAGAACTGGAAGGAAAATTGAATAGCTGAGGAGAGAAAATAGTAAATCATATCCAAGAAATAAACTTCCTGGAAACTAGACTAGACCAAACAGTAATCAATGACTTCATAAGACAGCAAAAAATATTAGAACAAAATCTAAAGATTGAAAAAGCAAGAAGAAAATGTAAGATATTTGAAAATTTAAGGTATTTGACTTGGGAAGCAATTTAGGGAGAGATAATTTAAGAATCATTAAATTCTCTGAAAACCATGATTAAAAAAAGTATGGACACTAAATTTCAATAAATTATAAAAGAAAACTACCCAGAGAGTTAGAATCTATCAATTACCTCCTGAAAGAAACCCCCAAAAGAAAAAGTTGAAGCAATGTCATAGCCAAAATCTAGACCTCCCATATCAAACGAAAAAAAATAGTATAAGCATCCAGAAAGAAGCAGTTCAAGTACCAGGGAATTACAGTCAAGATCACACAAAACCTAGTGGCATCTGTCATAAATGAGAGGAAATCATAGAATATAATATTCCAAAAGGCAAAAGATATTGGCTTATAATCAGGGATAATTTACCCTGCAAAGACGTTCATAATCCTACTGGAAAAAAAAATATGGATCTTTAATGGATCAGAGAATTTTTGAGCATTTTCAATGAAAAGATTAGGGCTGACCAGGAACCTTGAATTACAAATCCAAGAATACAGAGAAACCAAGAAAGATAAATTTATTTGAGCAGTTGGAAGGGGGCTATATGATGATGTAGTGATAACATTACAATAGAGGAAAAAGAAACAAGTGTCTCTTCAAAACCTCAAATATCCTCAAAAGATATTGAGGGAATTAACTAAAAACAACAGAGAACTTGAGTTGGACTACTTTTATTCTGACAGTTTTAAAAAATAAAAGGAATATACTAGTGTAGAAAGAAGAAAGAATGGTATGAAACTTGCTGTTTTTCATATTTGAGGTACATAAGAATATATAAACATGGAAGAAGGGGTAGGAAGAATGGGAATTGGCAAATGACATTGGGATTCTACACCAGAATGGGGGCTTGATTCAATAACATCAGAAAGATACCCTCAGAGTACTCTTAGAACTCTGAGGGGAAGATGTAGACAGAAAAACTCTGGAGCCTTACCTGCTAGTGTGCACAAGAGTAAGTCCAGAGTGTACATAGAGACTGTACTTATATAAGGCATTGTCAATCATTCAAACAATTCTGAATCTACCTAAATAGACTGTTATCTAGCCCATTTCTCTTTATCTTGAATGAGAGTTTTAGTCAAATATAGGTAATGTATATCTACAATATTACTCTCATGCACCAATCTAGAGACATTATCAAAAAAGGAAATAAAGTTATGTATGACCTAATCTTTATGACCTAATCTAACTGTATGACCTAATCTTTATGGAGACGTATTGACTCTCTGCCATATCTGCTTCCTTTTCTACATGTTAACTAACCATTCTTTTAATTTTGCCAGGAGATGAATTTAAACTTCAGAGTTGGTAGATTATCCTCTTCTCTTTCTTAAAAAATAGAATATATATGATTATTTAGTCTTGTGGTTCCTCTCTCTTTCATTAGTCTTTCAAGCATCACCCACAATGGTCCAGCAGGCATGCCTCCCACTTCTTTCAGTAAGCTAGGATGTAGTTACTTTGAACTCTTAAAGGTCTAGTGAGTTAGGTATTCTCTTGCTCTCTTCCTCTTTGTCTTGAGTATCAACTCTCTATTTGTCATTTTTGTTCTGTCCTTTCCAGTCCGAAGATAATTCTCCTTGGCAGAGAAAAAACACAAAATTAGAGCTCAAAATTAGAACGTCTCTCTCTTCTCTTACTCCTTGATTATCATTATCCCTCCACCCTAAGCAATATTTCCATTGCTTCCTTGATCCTCCTCACTTTCTCAATATAACTAAAACAACCCCCTTGGTTGCTCTTAACTTTTCTCCCTACACTCAGCCAGTCTTGACTCCCTAGACTCAATAATCTCGATTATGAGCAGCTAGGTGACACAGGGAATAAACACTAAACCTGCCATATAACCTAGAATAAATGAGTCTAAGCTTGCTCATGTGTAAAATTGGGATAAGAGTACCTAATTCATAGAGCTTTTGTGAGGATCCATTAAACTAACATGTGTATAGCATTTTGCAAATCTTAAAAGCGCTTTGCAAATGTTAGCCATTATTATTGACACTCTTTTTACAGTACTGTTCTATGTTTTTATGACTGCTCAATTACTTGCTCTTGCTTCCATATTCTGTACGAATCTTTTAAAAATCTAAATTGGTTGGT